ACCACTATTAAGGAGTCTTTCCAAGTAAAGTAGATAATGAAGGGAAAGGGCAACTTTCAATTAATTACAGGGGAAAGTGATGGATGAACTTAACAGAAACATTAACAGGAGAATCTGGTCACAGAAGAACCCAGTGTTTGGAGTACACTGGGCTTTAACGGACCCCAGAGGAGCAGAGCTGAACAGGGAGCTCCCTAGTAATCAGTGGCATAAGGATGAAGGAGGCAGGAGGCCAGGGCAAGGCTGCCTCCACATACTTGCTAGTGAGAACTTTCCCCCACTCTGTGGGAAGGGATTTTTCTCACTAAACACACTCTGGCCTCTTCTCCACCCTTTCACTCACTCATTCCCTGGTAAAGGTAGTGACAAATCTGCTCTGCAAACACAGAGAGAAGGAACCGATGTGTTTGGGTCTGTTCTTTCCTCCTGAGAACAAGCCTGCAGACAGAGTTCTTTTCTACTCTTCCTTGTGACGTCTTCCACTTGGGAAGTTACTTTGACCATGACTACTGGGGATTCTGCATCATTAACAGCCCTGCTGAACTCTCACCCTAAGCTAATCCTCCAACCTGCCTCTGCCAGTAATGTCCACGGCATTAAGGTTCTTACGGATGCACATTTTCCATTTGTGCTTGTTTGGAATCCAGCCAAGAGAGAGGGAAGCTATTTAGTGTGGAACTCCTTAAAAATTCCCAACATTAGTGACTAAGATTTAAAAAAAAAAAAAAAAAAGATGGTAGGAAGAATTTCTACATCTTCTGAATTAACTAGTGCAGCATGAAGTGGTAATCAATGAGAATAATAATAGCTAACAATTAGGGAGCACTTACCATGTGCTGTTGCAGGCACTTTAGAAAGGCTAATTTCATGAAATACGGATGCAAGAGTTACTCTTAATCCACATATGAGGAAACTGAGGCTCCCACAGGTTCATAAGCTGCCCGTGATGGCATAATATCTCAATGGCTAAGCCAGTGTTTGAAAACAGTCAGGGTTGCCCCAGAGCAGAACACTATTAGACACTATCCTGTGCCACTTATTTCTGAGCTGTGCTATCTATATGAGAATCCACTACTAAGAAATAATAAACCATTTTCTTTTATAAATATCCAAATAATCATGAATGTTAATGTAATTAAATTTCCCATTTTTGTAGGTAAAAATGAAGACTAGATCATTCACTTTGTTAGCTAATCCTTGCGAAAGCACTGGCAGGTCAATATAGACGTAGAGGATAGCCCCCCAGCTCTTACGTGCACAAGACCATTATGTTCAATGATGTGGTAACAGCAATGGTGTTTTTCTCTCCTGGGCTCTATTTTTTACTTCATCACTTCCCATTCTATCTCTTCAGCCCTCTGCAATCAGGTTTCTACCTCCTGGACTCTGCAGCTCTCATCTAGTCCACTTCTTCAAGCAGCTGACCCTGTGACCTCTGCCCTTCTCTGAAATCCCCTCCTCCCCTGGCACATGACAGCCCTCTCTCCTGCTGCATCCTCTTCCAGGACAGCCAGTTTTCAGCTTCTTCTACTGGTTTCCCTTTCCTTTACCCATTCCTCCTGTATCAGGGTTTCTCAGGATTTTTTTTAACCTCCCCCCCCACACACACTTCTAATGTTTTATCCTTTTGGATGATTAACTCATAATAATTACCTGCCACCTCTGTCTGGACTCCCTGACCCCACTATCTCACCCGTCTTCTTTGCCTACAAGAATCTTTTGAAAAGAAGATAGCCTGGCTTTGGAGTCTGAGGCAGGAGGATTGCAAGTTTGAAGTCAGCTTCAGCAATGTAGAGACCATCTCAAAAAAAAAAAAAAGTAAATAAATAAAAGGGTAGGGGCTGAGGAGGATGTAGCTCAGTGGTAAAGCACCCTTGGGTTCAATCCCCAGCACTATCCGTGCATGTAAACTGAATTCTATACACTCTCCTTTCACTTTTCTCGATGCTAAAAGGGTCACTTAAGCAGGTCCTCCTGTCTTCAGAACCAGGTTCATCCAATGCAAGCTTATTAGTTGTGTGAGAAGGATTTTTCCAAAGTTTCAAACGAATTCTGTTGCCTAAATGGCTCCCAATTCCATCACCAGTGGAACACAACCTGGTATATACAGAGGTTCCATGACTGGTCTCTCACCTCTCTCTCTACCTTTTCTCTAGTCACCACTGTATTTCCCCACCACACTAGGCACAGATTCTATTTCCAGCCAGACTACACTTCTTAGCTTTTATGTAATTTGTCTTTTCAAACCTGTTCAGTTGCCCTTCACCAGTCCTCACTCAGTCTGTTTGGGGAAGGACTACATGTCTTCCAAGGCCCAGCTTAGGAATCACCTCTTATGAAGCCTTTGTCATCGGAAGTGACAGTAACCACTCTCCCCTTGGAGCTCTACGTTCACCTGACAGATGTGTAAGCCCCTAGGGGTAGGGACCTCATTTTATTTATGATAAATGATGCCTTAAACATAGAAGTAAGTTTTTATTAAATGCTTAAATAAGTGCCTGAATCTCATGAGGTAGGTTATCAGGCTAAATACTGTTTTAATTCATTATCATATTGGTTAATTACCATATTTTATGGGAATGTCTGATCTGTCTTGATGCATAAGTCCACCAAAACAAGCATATAATAGTCTCCAACATCCAAAAATAACTGTTTTACTTATACGTTAACATTCCAAGTGTAGCTTATGAGCTCTTCTTTTCAGATTAGAAAAAAAAAGTGACTTGATAGGCAAGAGCTCCCAAGAAAGACCCACAATTTCTGGGACCAAAGCTTTCCACTTGGAATGATCTGTTCATGATGTAGGCTACCATTCAATCCTTCTAACTCAAGAACTCATCCTTTAAGCTCCCAAAATTCCAGCACTTGTGTACAATCTTCACCAAAGCAAGCCCTACAGCTTTCAGTTCTTTAGCTTAGATATTGCTTTTGCTAGATCCTCAGTGAATGCTTTCACTTTTAATATTTTTATTTGTTTATATTTATGAGGAACAGAAAGTTACAACCAAATGGGACCTAGTCAGTTGAAAATTCAAGCCTTATTCAAGTTCAGTTTCTCACTGTACAGTACTCCCTGACTTTTCTCCCATTTAAAAAAAAAATATATATATATATATAGTTGGCTGATGCTGCTAATTTTCAATGAGATCTTCAGACAAGGAAGTCCTTACCATGACCCCCTTTCCTTCAGAAAAAGAGGAAATGCAAATTCCTCACAATGAGCCCAGTAGAATGAACACATTACAGAGCATCTTCTCAGAAAGAAGTTTTTAAGAAAATCATTCACAATTAGTAATCAGTGAAGATTTCTATTCTCTGTGAAATCACTACATGAAATCCTAAAACCACCTGAAACAGACCCACTGAGCCAACCTTGTGTATGAAAAAAATAGATCCTACATTGAACAGGCCCTAACTAGATTAAGAAACAATCGTTTTCTCATTCAATCTTTGCAACAATATTGTGGGTTAAATATTTATATTCTAATTTTGTAAATTTCAGAGGGATAAATTTGCCCAAGATCAAGAGAATAAATCAGAGGCAAGTTAAAGGCTGGTGTGATGGCACATGCCTGTAATCCCAGCTATTCAGGAGACTGAGGCAGGAGGATCACAAGTTTGAGGCCAGTATCAGCAACTTAAGAGACCCTGTCTCAAAATAAAAAAAAAATAAAATAAAAATGACTGGGAACGTAGCTCAGTGACAGAGCATTCCTGGGTTCACTCCCCTGTACTAGGAAAAAAAATTCAAGTTCAAGATCCTTTTGTTTTAAAGCTGTCCATATTTCAACACATGATATAACAAAAGAAAGTGATCTAGGAATTCCTACAAATATTCTTCTTTGGAATTTTTGCTTGATAATCCATTCTTCAGCCAGTATCCCCTAAACTTATATTCAGTTGGAAACTATCTATCATCTAGTAAATATGACCTTAAAATAATCCTTACCCCTAATAACACTCATCTTGTCACTCCGAGTGATTTCTCAAGGCTTCTTCCTGGCCAGAATTCTGATCCTAAGGTTCATACTTATTTAATTTAATTCTCTCCAAATGGACATGAATCATCAGTTTTCCATTTTAGTGTCTAAATGAGATATGTTATCTATATAAATACAGCTTCAAATATGATGCAAAAACAACATGGTGAAGCAAAATTTGTTTAATACCAAGAGTCAAAAAGATCAAGATTCAAATACTGGCTTGGCACAAAACTTGGAAATTTCCTCATATTAATTAAATCTCATTTCCTCATGCAAGAAAGGATTTTTATCATCCACTTTACTAGGATTTGTCAAGCACAGTCATGCATTACTTATGAACAGGTACACATTCTGAGACACATGCCATTAGGCAATTCTATCATTGTGTGAACATCAGAGTGGACGAAAACAGAAACTGAAATGGCCACAACATCACTAGGCAATCTAATTGTCATATATACAGTTAGTCCTTGATGGAAAACTTTGCTATAGGGTGTATAACTATATGCGTAATGTGTGCAAAGATCCTTAAAGGTGGTGCACACTTGTAATCCCAGCTCCTCAGGAGGCTGAGATAGGCAGATTCCAAGATCAAGGCTAGCCTGGGCAATTTAGTGAGATCCTGCCTCAAAATAAAATTAAAACAGGCTAGGATGCAGCTCAGTGGTAGAGCATGCTGGGTTCAATTCCCAGTATCACAAAAAAAAAACAAAAACGTCCTAACATAGTACTTGGTAAAGAGTAAAGTCAAATAGTAATTAACAGGTACTGGTAACTATCTTGGTATTGCTGTTATGAGGTTTAAAATATGATGTGCACATTTGAGAATAGTGAGGAACAACAATTAGAAGGGATTGAACATAAATGAGGTTAAAATTATAATAAAGAAAACAATTTTCGCATTTAATCTTGAACTCTTTCTAGAGGGTAGCATGGGTGGTGGACTGCCCTTTCTTTTTCTGATATACAAAAATCAAACCCCGGCAATATTTTTATTTTGATAGCAACTATTCTGACCTGATGCTAGCAGATTTTGCTTTCAAGTCGTTCCATCTTTGGTTCATATCATCCAGTCGATGCTGAAGCATAGTAGCCTCCTCAGAGTTTCCCAAAGCTTTTACCATCTTCTGCCTGTTTCCATCAATGCTTTTAAATATGTCATTATGGGCATCAATTTCCGCCTGGATGTCCTAAGGAGAAAAAAGCAAAGAGAGAATGCAAACGTTAAACCTTAGTGTCAACATTGCTGAGAAGTTTTATATAGAGCTTTGATTTTTATGTTTGCAAATGAGTTGCTTTCAAGCAAAATAATTCATTTTACCTTACATAACAATTTCATGTGTTTCTACAACTCTCACATTGAAAATAATAGTCTTGAATCTTTAATATTTGTACTCATTACATCTTAAAACCTGAACTTATTATAATCTAAATTTCATGTATCTGTCATTTAGATGTC